CCTTTGTGCGACGCGTTCCATGATATCTCAGGAGGGAAGATAGCAATATATGGAAGAGTAAAGTGTGTGATTAACCCATGCAGCGCACACTGGGGACCGGGTTAGCATACTCACCCCAACTTTTGTGTCACTATGTGGCGTTCAGCTGTAAAATAATATCTCTGCAAAAAGAGGCATTTTTTCCTATTGGATTCCTTTCCTCGTGGGTTCTCCGTATTCCAGAATAATACGCCGAATTTATCATTAGTTTCAATTTGGAATTTCTGGTAGGAGCCTGAACGAGCATGATTAGCTAGGATTATGGTGCCATGGAGGCTCTGTGCCATGGAGGCACTGTGCCAGGGAGCCCCAATACGCACCTACGGAGCTGTCACGTCATGTGAACCAGTGTCCAACAAGGAGAGCCTCCACGCCTGGAGTGTGACATTCAGAGTCCCTCAAACCCGAGTCTCACTTCAGTACTTCACTGACCGGTTGTAACTGGCGAGTCGTCAGTGCCAACACAAACCCGCCAGAGCCTGGCACTCAGTGCCAAAAGGGCAGCCATCTGGGCAATAGTTATGGCCCTCTGATATAGTTCTTTGCTTGCACCTACTGTTGGCACTAGCGAACCATGTCTAGTTTCACTACCCACAGTAACAATAGACCATCACGAGGGCCACGCTCGAGGCCCTGCCAGACCCCCGCAAGCATCCCCACCTGGCACTAGTTGACCAGGGGTCACAACCATGGCACTAGTGACTAGGCTGGTGGCCTCAGGTGCCGTCCACCAGAGCCACGACCGCCTCACTAGTGTTGGTGATGCTGCGACAGGCTGGCCATACCTGTGATGGCTCCCCCCCCCCACCTCCTCCCCTCCCCTGGGCAAGGGTCGTGGGGCCCAAGAGCTACATCACGGCTGCTGGAGGTCCTCAGCATCCGGTGGTTGAACGACCCAGTATTAAGAGTTGGTATTGCGTCAACAGTACATGCAGGTGGACGCGTCACACGGTGTGCAGCTCCGCCACACACACACCACATAATCCCGGACACCCGGCACTCGTCCTCACTGTGGGGCACGACCACCAAGGCGTGCCCCGTCTCCCGTGCCCACATATCACACACGTACCCCAGCGACGTCACCCACTACATCATATTATGGCCCACATATCAACCCGCCGCAACTTTTCTCCAACCGGTACGACACTAGACCATTGTGGCGGGAAGAAGAGTGTCCCCAGAGGAGTGGGGTTGCCAACTACGGGGCGAGGATAGTGAGAACACCGGGACACACGCAGGGGCGCCGCTCTCCCGTCGGGGGCCCACACCGATGTAAACAAAGAACTGGAGGCGCAGGCGGTGGCGGTGGCAATGGTGGAGGATGGAGGGGCGGCGGGAGGCGGGCGGGAGGCGCCGCCGCTGTTGATGCTGCCGCTGCTGCTGCTGCTGCTGCTGCTGCTGCTGCTCCTCCTCCTCCTCCTTCAGTAGCAGAGGGCGCGCGTGTCTCGATGCGTGCTCCACTAACCTACACGCACACCTTCAAACAATACACCGAGAGCCACCATCCTAAATAAAGAAAATCGGGGATACAAGAGGCAGGAGGAAAGTACACAGTTTGATGTACTGTCCCGCCCTGGCTGGGAGTGGGGGAGGCGTGGGGGAGGCGTGGGGGGAGGCGTGCGTACCAGCCACCCAGCCAGCGCCCCACGCCGCCCTGGGACCTCGCCACACCTCCCCTTTAACGCTGGACAAACACCCACCATATTTCCTAGGTGGAGCTGTGAGCCCGGGCCGCCCCTACACCTGTCTCCACACCCTCACACACCAGCAACTCCGTACAATATAGCACCCATGTCAAACCTCTTCCAGCGTTCAACACATATTTACTCTCTCTCTCTCTCTCTCTCTCTCTCTCTCTCTCTCTCTCTCACGCGCGTGTGTTCCCTAGTTGAGTGTGTGTGAGAGAGAAAAAAAGAAAGAGAGAGAGAGAGAGAGAGAGAGAGAGAGAGAGAGAGAGAGAGAGAGAGAGAGAGAGAGAGAGAGAGAGAGAGAGAGAGAGAGAGAGAGAGAGAGAGAAGAGAGAGAGAGAGAGAGAGAGAGAGAGAGAGAGAGAGAGAGAGAGTAAGAGAGAGTAAGAGAGAGTAGAGAGAGAGAGAGAGAGAGAGAGAGAGAGAGAGAGAGAGAGAGAGAGAAGAGAGAGAGAGAGAGAGAGAGAGAGAGAGAGAGAGAGAGAGAGAGAGAGAGAGAGAGAGAGTAAGAGAGAGTAAGAGAGAGTAAGAGAGAGAGAGAGAGAGAGAGAGAGAGAGAGAGAGAGAGAGAGAGAGAGAGAGAGAGAGAGAGAGAGAGAGAGAGAGAGAGAGAGAGAGAGAGAGAGAGAGAGAGAGAGAGAGAGAGAGAGAGAGAGAGAGAGAGAGAGAGAGAGAGAGAGAAAGAGAGCCGCCCGCATCGATCTAGTTCCACCCTCCCCCGCCACCCCTTTCCTAACCCCCCCCCCCCTCTCCCACACACTTTCCCAGATTCCTCTCCCTTTCCTCCCTTTACAGTCCTTCTCCTTCCTTACCCTTCGAATTGTGTCCTTTCTTGCTCTTCCCGTCACCCTCACCCTCCCTCACCCTCCCTCACCCCCCTTCCCGTCACCCTCCCCCCTTCCAGTCACTCCCCCTAACTATGTAATCCTTCGCCATTCATTTTTTTATATTTCTCCCAATCCCTCGTACCAGTATTGTGGTAGCCAGTCTTCAACCCCACCCCCCCCCCCCCTCCTGGTACCTCCCGGGTGATGGTGTGTCCTGTCCAACCACAGTCCTGGTTCACGAACCCCAGCTTAGGTTCACGAACCCCAGCTTAGGTTCACGAACCCCAGCTTAGGTTCACGAACCCCAGCTTAGGTTCACGAACCCCAGCTTAGGTTCACGAACCCCAGCTTAGGTTCACGAACCCCAGCTTAGGTTCACGAACCCCAGCTTAGGTTCACGAACCCCAGCTTAGGTTCACGAACCCCAGCTTTGGTTCACGAACCCCAGCTTAGGTTAATTGGGTAGGCCTCGGTCGCGTCTATCAAGTTTCACTCGCGAGTACAAATACATCTCTAATGATAATTTCCTCTGTATTAAGTAGACGGGGTTCTGAAAAGCTTTGGTGTTCTGAATTTCCTCAAAACTTTTAGATGTGGCTATTTTGTATTGATTAAAAGTTCATAATTCGTTGCTAGTCCAAATGTAGATTAATGGGAGGGATTTAAAGTCCAGCAGAAAGTCCAGCACTTGGAGGGATTTAAAGTCCAGCAGAAAGTCCAGCACTTGGAGGGATTTAAAGTCCAGCAGAAAGTCCAGCACTTGGAGGGATTTAAAGTCCAGCAGAAAGTCCAGCACTTGGAGGGATTTAAAGTCCAGCAGAAAGTCCAGCACTTGGAGGAATTTAAAGTCCAGCAGAAAGTCCAGCACTTGGAGGGATTTAAAGTCCAGCAGAAAGTCCAGCACTTGGAGGGATTTAAAGTCCAGCACTTGGAGGGATTTAAAGTCCAGCAGAAAGCAACACATGGAACAAAGGAGGAGCTGGATGACAATGGAGGAGTTGGATGACAATGGAGGAGCTGGATGACAATGGAGGAGCTGGATGACAATGGAGGAGCTGGATGACAATGGAGGAGTTGGATGACAATGGAGGAGCTGGATGACAATGGAGGAGCTGGATGACAATGGAGGAGCTGGATGACAATGGAGGAGCTGGATGACAATGGAGGAGCTGGATGACAATGGAGGAGCTGGATGACAATGGAGGAGCTGGATGACAATGGAGGAGCTGGATGACAATGGAGGAGCTGGATGACAATGGAGGAGCTGGATGACAATGGAGGAGCTGGATGACAATGGAGGAGCTGGATGACAATGGAGGAGTTGGATGACAATGGAGGAGCTGGATGACAATGGAGGAGCTGGATGACAATGGAGGAGCTGGATGACAATGGAGGAGCTGGATGACAATGGAGGAGTTGGATGACAATGGAGGAGCTGGATGACAATGGAGGAGCTGGATGACAATGGAGGAGCTGGATGACAATGGAGGAGCTGGATGACAATGGAGGAGTTGGATGACAATGGAGGAGCTGGATGACAATGGAGGAGCTGAATGACAATGGAGGAGCTGGATGACAATGGAGGAGCTGGATGACAATGGAGGAGCTGGATGACAATGGAGGAGCTGGATGACAATGGAGGAGCTGGATGACAATGGAGGAGCTGGATGACAATGGAGGAGTTGGATGACAATGGAGGAGCTGGATGACAAAGGAGGAGTTGGATGACAATGGAGGAGCTGGATGACAATCGAGGAGTTGGATGACAATGGAGGAGCTGGATGACAATGGAGGAGTTGGATGACAATGGAGGAGCTGGATGACAATGGAGGAGCTGGATGACAAAGGAGGAGCTGGATGACAATGGAGGAGTTGGATGACAATGGAGGAGCTGGATGACAATGGAGGAGCTGGATGACAATGGAGGAGCTGGATGACAATGGAGGAGCTGGATGACAATGGAGGAGTTGATGACAAAGGAGGAGCTGGATGACAATGGAGAGAGCCTCATTGTGATCACGAGAGAGATTATAATAAGAGCAGACAGAAGATAAATCCCGATTGTTGACACTTGGGGACTTCCCCTTGACATCAATAGACAGCGCGGCCTACGGAGCAAGAACAGAGGACATTTGGACTCGCAGATCCGTAAACCTCATCCCAGAATTATTCACAACCGTTGTAAAACTTAAATTAGAACCTGCAGCAGTTGTATAGTGCCCATATCTTTCCCAATTTACTGCTGCATCAAGAAACTATGGTGCCTAGTGGACCAAACTCTCACAAGTCAAGCCTGGCCTCGGGCCGGCTTGGGGGTGTAGAAGAACTCTCAGAACCCCATCAACCAGGTATCAACCAGGTGCAAAGACATGTAACTAATGACTTCCATAACAAGAGCTACGAGGTGAGGCTAAAGGTCTTAACTATACCAAAGTTAGAAGACGTAATGGGGTCACTATGTACAAAATAATAACGGAAATCGACAAAATTGAAGGAAAAAAAATTGAAACCTAGAACTTCAAGAAGAGGTCATAGAGTCAAGGTTAGGAAACAAAGCAACTGGGAAAAGACATTAGAAAGTTCCCTTGTGCAGAGTGGTGACCGGCTGGAACAAGTGAGGAAAAGCGGGGAACGCCAAAATCACCAGGGAGGCCAGATTCACAAAGCAGTTACGCAAGCACTTTCGAACCTGTCCATCTTTTCTCAATCTTTGGCGGCTTTGTTTACAATTATTAAACAGTTAATGAGCTCGGAAGCACCAGGAGGCTGTTTATAACAATGACAACAGTTGATTGGGAAATTTTCATGCGTATAAGCTGTTTAATAAATGTAACCAAAGCCGTCAAAGATTGAGGAAAGATGTACTTGCGTAACTGCTTCGTGAATCTGGCCCCAGTACAATAGTGTCAAAGAGACGCATAACAAAGAGTACTGGGAAGACAGTACACCATGAGCGTAGCTCTCAACTTCAACTGCACACTAACAGGAGTCATCCGATTCGACCTCTAACGGTTAGACAAGGCGGGATCCAAGAGCTAAGAGCTCGATCCGGCAGGCACAAACACACACACGTACGGTACATACAACACCGACAATACCTATTACTCACCCACATTATCGCATTCCGTTAGATATCAGAGGGAAAAGAATACGGGAATCTGGCGTCAGCCTTCACCGTGTAGCTGGAGCATGAATACTGTAAGAGGCAGGCAGGCAGGCAGGCAGGCAGCCAGGCAGGCAGGCAGGCAGGCAGGCAGGCAGGCAGGCAGGCAGGCAGCCAGGCAGGCAGGCACTGGCACATACAAAAACATAACGGAAATAGAGACAATACTGAAAATGAGAAACTGGAGGATCAGAGGATCAACAGTAATGACCCACAGGACCAGGAGCTACTCCACAACCAACAGTAATGACCCCACAGGACCAGGAGCTGCACCACAACCAACAGTAATGACCCCAAAGGACCAGGAGCTACACCACACCCAACAGTAATGACCCCACAGGACCAGGAGCTGCACCACACCCAACAGTAATGACCCCACAGGACCAGGAGCTGCACCACAACCAACAGTAATGACCCCACAGGACCAGGAGCTGCACCACAACCAACAGTAATGACCCCACAGGACCAGGAGCTGCACCACAACCAACAGTAATGACCCCACAGGACCAGGAGCTGCACCACACCCAACAGTAATGACCCCACAGGACCAGGAGCTGCACCACAACCAACAGTAATGACCCCCACAGGACCAGGAGCTGCACCACACCCAACAGTAATGACCCCACAGGACCAGGAGCTGCACCACAACCAACAGTAATGACCCCACAGGACCAGGAGCTGCACCACAACCAACAGTAATGACCCCACAGGACCAGGAGCTGCACCACAACCAACAGTAATGACCCCACAGGACCAGGAGCTGCACCACAACCAACAGTAATGACCCCACAGGACCAGGAGCTGCACCACACCCAACAGTAATGACCCCACAGGACCAGGAGCTGCACCACAACCAACAGTAATGACCCCACAGGACCAGGAGCTGCACCACAACCAACAGTAATGACCCCACAGGACCAGGAGCTGCACCACACCCAACAGTAATGACCCCACAGGACCAGGAGCTGCACCACAACCAACAGTAATGACCCCACAGGACCAGGAGCTGCACCACAACCAACAGTAATGACCCCACAGGACCAGGAGCTGCACCACAACCAACAGTAATGACCCACAAAACACAGCTGGTCCTCCGTGTTTCCAGAGTTGAGGGAGAAGTTCGCGGAGCTTCGTAATCTGCTCAGAAATACATGAAGCGAGGGTGGGTGCAGGTGGGGGGAGCAACAGCTGCCCCCCGTTGCTGGAGGAGCAACAGCTGCCCCCGTTGCTGGAGGAGCAACAGCTGCCCCCGTTGCTGGAGGAGCAACAGCTGCCCCCGTTGCTGGAGGAGCAACAGCTGCCCCCGTTGCTGGTGGAGCAACAGCTGCCCCCGTTGCTGGTGGAGCAACAGCTGCCCCCGTTGCTGGAGGAGCAACAGCTGCCCCCGTTGCTGGAGGAGCAACAGCTGCCCCCGTTGCTGGAGGAGCAACAGCTGCCCCCGTTGCTGGAGGAGCAACAGCTGCCCCCGTTGCTGGAGGAGCAACAGCTGCCCCCGTTGCTGGAGGAGCAACAGCTGCCCCCGTTGCTGGAGGAGCAACAGCTGCCCCCGTTGCTGGAGGAGCAACAGCTGCCCCCGTTGCTGTTGCAGGTACCTGTTTCTTAAGATAACTTTCTGCACCTCAGCCCCCCGCCACACGAAAATCCGCGAGGGTTGATCGCAGAAGACGGTTAGAAAATAGTAAAATCCTACATAAGTGTGTTTAGTGCCGGGGTGAAGATAATGTCTGGGTGAGACTCCCATCTTGTCTAGCGAACTTGGAATATTTTGTCTTGACTTAACAGG